AAAAAAAAAGAACAAAATCATCCTAAGTGAGGTAACCCAGACTCAGAAAGACAAAATGGTAAGTATTCACATTTAAGTGGATATGAGCCATGAAGTAAATGGTAACCAAACTATACAATCCATAAACCCAGGAAGGTTAAGTAAAGACGCAGGGTCCAGGGAGAATACATGGGTCTCCCTGGGAAGGGAAAATAGAATAGATTTTTTGTGAGTGGACAGGAGGATGATGGAGGCAGGAGAGGGGAGGATCAGGTGGGGCCGGGAGGCAGATGGGATGAAGGAGAAGAGTTTAGGAGTGATAGCTGAAATTGGAGAGCATTCGGTGGGCAATGTGTAAACCTAGTACAATAGAATCTTCCTGGAATCCATGAGAGTTGTCCCAGTGAGGACTCTTAGTAATGGGAAATACAGAATCTCAACTGACCATCTTTTGTTGCCAGGCAAGGTTTTCAGTGGTATACTAGGTTGCATTCAATTGAGTTGCTGTTTAATAGGATCCCATGGAGGTCCCCAAACAAGCCAGGCTCATGCTAGGACAAAGGATTGTTCTCCAAAACTAATACCGCAGCCTCATTGCTGAGGACAACATCCACTGAACACTTAGTTCAGTGACCATAGGGAGGGCAAGCTACACGTGTTACTGAAAGAGAACTGTGAACACCAACTCAGCCACAAAACCTTTGTCCAACAATCAGTTCTGCCTGCAAGATGTGCTGGAGCAATGGGGGTGCAGAATCTGTGAGAGTGGCCAACTTGAGGCCACTCCATGAGAGGAAACCCATGTCAGACACTGCCTGGATGGCCAGGAACCAGAGACTGGATAGTCCAAACAAGACTGGTTTAAAAATAAAAATTTCAAAGCAATGAAATGATTCCTAATGATATTCTGCTATATTCATACATCAGTCCCTTGACAGTCATTGTCAGAGAGGCTTCCACCAGCATCGGATGGGAACAGATGAAGAGATACCCACGACCAGACAGTATTGGGAGAGTCTAGATTGGAGATCTCTATCGGGTCCCTCCCCTATGAGCCAGGGGAATCTCCTGGAAAATGGGGCTGAAAGATTGTAGGAGTCAGAGGTGGATGGAGGACACCAGGAGAACACGTCCCACTAAACCAATTAAGCAGGGCATATATGAGCCACTCATAAAGACTGAAGCAGCAAGCATGGGGCCCGCACGTGTCAACACCAGATCCTCTGTGTATATGTCGTGTCTGTTAGCTTGGTGTTTCTGTGGGACTTCTGACTGTGGGAGTGAGTGTGTCTCTGATTCTTTTGCCTGCTCTTGGGGCTCTTTTTCCTTCAGTTGGATTGCCTTGTTCAGATTTTGCATGGGGGCTTTTGCCTTGTCTTACTGTATTTTATCTGGTGGTTGTCTCTTGAAGACCTGCTTTTTTTTCTGATGGAAGAGGGCAAGGGAGTGAATCCAGGGGAGCAGGGAGGGGAAACTGTGGTTGGGAAGTATTAGACAAGAAAAGAATATTTTAAAAAAGAATTTTGAGGAGAGCATTGCACATATCCAAAAAACAATGTACAGCATTTAAATCAGAGTCCACTCCCATCGGTGCACAGCAGGGCTTCAGTTGTGGAATTCATGGCTCCTAGTTGCTTCATAGCCCTGCCTTACTTCAGTGGGGTGGAGGCCTGCAACACCTGCAGCAACTCTAAAAAGTAGCACTCGACCCAATGGCTTCTCTGCTTTATCACAGGAGGAGAAAGCACCACACCGTTAAAAAGCAACAAAATTAGTTAAGTGGCCTGTAGTGGTGCACACTTTCAAATCACAGCATTTGGGAGGCAGAGGCAGGTAGATCTCTGTAGGTTTTAGGACAGGTGACAGAGCAAGAAATCCTGTCTCAGAAATACCCAAAGTTGTGAGAGAGAAACAACCAAAGGGATGAAGACAGGGAAGAGAGGGAGAGGGAAAGAGAGGGGGACGGGGAGGGGCAGGGGAAAAGGGAGGGAGAGGGAGGAAGTTGGGATTGGACCCCATTTAAAGTGTTCCCTGAAAGGACCAGCTTGACCACTGGAGGGCAGTTACTTGGAGGTGCAAGCCAGCCAGCAAGTTCTTTCATTATAGAAAGTTGTTTCCATGGGAAAGAGAATTTGGCAAGAAAAGGAGGGAAATAAGTTGACAGGAATCTCTGGCAGTCTTCCTACAAGAACTTCACACTTTTTCTTAAAAGGGAAGCAAAATGCCATCCAATGTCTCACACTGCCTTTTGAAAAACTTAATCCTGGCTGCGGTGGCTCACCGCCATCCTTGGATATAGAGAGAGCAGTGCTAAAGGCCTTCCTCATCCACTACATTCTCACAGAACTAGCAGAAAGAAATACCAGGAAGACGAATACTCTCCACGCGCGCTTCTCTTTTCATCCTCCTTGATGACAAGAATGTGCACAAAACCCCAGGACAAACTGAGGCCCCGCTCCACAGAGAGAAGAGCCTTTACATGGTGCCTAGGAAGGCAGGAGCCACAGCCTGGCCCATCCAACGCCAGATTTTCCCATGAATCTCAGTAAGAAACGTCCCTGTGCAAACTAGCTGTGAAAAATGCCAGGTCTAGTGTTGCTTGGGGTTGGAGGAGATCCCAATTATGTTCCTGAAACAATTGTCCCTCTTCTTAATAGGTATCTTGCTTCCTGCCTGTTCTGTCTAAAGTATTAGTGTGTGGGGCTCTGTGCCTTGCATACAATTCTGTTTGGATGACTATTTAACCTACTTTAAGGAAATGTGGTGTACAGTCCTGTTCTTGAAAAAAGAAATAACCACATTATGCAAAACATTCAAGTTTTAAAAAATTCTACAACGAATTTTCTGGAAGGAAAAACTTTGGATGTATCTCCCTAAAATACATGATAAACATTTAAATTTGTTTAAAGGACAGGCCTTTGAGACTAGAATCTACTTTCTACTCACCAGAGTCACATAAAAAAACAAACACTTATCCTAAAGCAGTAGTTCTCAACCTTCTTAATGTTGTGACCCTCTACTTACAGTTCCAAACGTTGTGGTGATCCCTAACCATAAAATTATTTGCTACTTTGAAATTGTGATCTTGCTACTCGTAATTTAAATATCTGATATGCAGGATATCTGATATGCAAGCCCCAAAAGGGTCATGACCCACAGGTTGAGAATGTCTGTCCTAAGGCAAGGAATACAAAAATGTGACAATGTGACAACCAGTCACCCTAACAGATAAAAAGTCAAAGAACAACAACAAAAACAAACACAAAAAGATGGGATCTTTGGAATAGTCAGAGTCAAACAACTTAGCATCCTCTCCAGTAGGATGAGCTGATTCTATGTGCACAATTCTGTCTGCCTCCCAGGGAGACCATCCAAAGGATACTATGAAACATAGTCAGCAACCCATTCACATTAAAGGAGGTTTATAATGTTAAAAGCTCATGTCCAAACAAAATGAGTACATTGTGGCAAGCATCTAAAAGGGTCCATCTCCTACCCAACCCCCATCCCCAGTTAAGGTCATAGGAAATTCATTTCCAAACTTGCTCTTGTAGACAATGCAAATTAAACGACATTAGACAGATATATGTGAATGTGTCTCTATTTCTGTAAATAAGTCAGAACTGTAAAGACTTCACAGCGTAGTGTGGAATAAAGGTGCATCTACCTTGAATCCACAATAACGTGCAGACTCGAAAGGCTGTAAACCTTTCTTCAAAGTGCATTTCCTTTCTTGAATTGTCTCTGGGGTGTCCTTAGCCTGAGTTTGCCCTCCTTGGTTCTTAACAACTGGGGTAGCCTGCGGCAAGTTTATCAGGACCACAATCACCACAGGCACACTGGTTTAGCCCAGAGCGCTTTAGAGAGAGCTAGGCAGAGAACCGGAAAACTTCAGCCGGGGGCGTCAGAAATTCCAGATCCCCGCACGCCTCCGCGTGTCCCCTGGACATTCCGTTGGGTGACCTGACACGTCATCCATGCTCCTAGAAGGACCTACGGACATGCCCTCCCCGTCCACACCACAGCGACACCCTCCGGGACGAGGCTTTCCTTCCACTCGCGGCCCGCGGAGCGCGCGCCCTCAGCCGGAGCCACGCGTGGGCCCCCGCGGCGCAGCCGGGAGCAGGACGCCTGCTCGGCGCGGTTCGGACGCTCGAGCGCCGGGCGAGACTCGCGAGCTCTCGGGGTTCCGCGGGGACCCGCGGGGACGGCGGAGACACTCCGGCGCGCGGGGGTTAGGGGGACTCGCGAAGGCCGCGGGGCTGCGGCGGCCACCTGAGGCGGCGCGTCCCCGAGCGCGCGTCCCCGCCGGCCGCGACCCCGCCGGGCGACTTTGCACTAAACTTTCCGGGGCGGGGGGGAGGGGCGGCCGGGCCGGGCCGAGCCGGGCCTGACCTGTGCTCAGATTGTCGTTGATCCTCAGGGGCACCCTCAGGATGTAGACCAGGAAGAGCACGAGGAAGAACCACACGGTCCACAGATAGGTCCACGACCACACGATGCAGGACTTGAGCTGCTCCAGGAAGCCTGCGCCCGCCTCGGCCATCTTCCGGCGCTGCTGCGGGCCGCCGCGGCGCTCGCTGTCTGCCGGGATGATTCACCGGCCCGTGGCAAGGCTCGAGCCACCGCCGCCGCCGCCACCAGGGCCCGGCGTCCCCACCGAGCTCGCCCGCCGCCCGGATGCGGCGGGAAACCGCGCGGCCTGCGCTCCGAGCCCCCCGCCGGTGGCCTTCGTGGAGCGGTCACGTGGGCCCGGTCCCTGCACACTCCCGGGCCATTTATACTTCTTCTACTAGTATTTTAGGAGGACAGCCCGGGCGCCGCCGAGGGAACCACTGACGTAACAGCTCGCGCGTGTAGTGCGCTTCCGACAGCCGGGCGTGTTCCACGCACTTTGTAGCTTCTGGGTGAGAGCCGGCAACAGTTGCCACGACGTGAGGTTATAGACGGAGGGAAACTGAGGCCCAAAGCATAGCTAGGTCTACCTTAAGTGGGCGTCAGAATTCAGTTGCAATTAAGATTTCCAGGACCTGAGTCTTAAGGCTCTGTTTCTCTCAGGACTGGGGCTTAAAGGTAGCAAGAAAATCCAGAAGAGCTAGAAGAGAGGCACTCCAGGTCAGTAGGCCTGAAGAGAAATCTCCTTGTCTTTGTGCTAGCTTCTGTTGTTTTGTTTTGTTTTGTTTTGTTTTGTTTTGTTTTGTTTTGTTTTGTTTTTCAAGCAGCACTGTGAAGGGTTTTCCAAAGAAACTGATAGCATACATATTTCTTTTTCTTCCTATTTTCCAAGTGATCACCATTCAAACAAGTCCTTTACTTCTTTTGTTTTTGTTTTTAACATGTAAGCAATTCCCTAGGGCAACTTTAGCGTACTTCATATGAACTTACTGAAAAATAAAATCACACTGTGAGCATTTTTCCCACAGCTGAATAAAATAATGTATTTTCCACATGGCTTTAGATGGTATCACCGAGTCTGTTTCTGTTCATAACCGATTTGACTTTTAATGTATTCAATGTTAAATGAATCAAATGCAGGCTTTCCCAACTATAACCAAGACGTTAAAATTCATCACTGAACAGATTATCTTATTATAATTTTTATATTGCTCATGATTAAGCTCAGAATGCACTACCTCAAAATAGGACACCTTGTGCTGGCGTGCTGGATGCCTTGAATGGAAGGAAATTGGAAAGTCCTCAGAAGCAAGGTGTCTCTGAACTCCCGTCCTTTTTTTCATAGCTTGTATGTCCTCCAAAGCAAAGCCAGCTCCCCAGAAACCAAAATTACCCTTCTCCAAGATGCATTGTAGAAATTAGAATGCATCTCCCTTAGACTAAGCTATAAAACCTAGAAAGATCGAACGATCTCGATCGTTTCTCCCTTCCCCCTCCTCCTTTGAAGCCCCTCATTCCAGGACATTCTACCTCATAAACCTCCAGAAAAAGGAATGATAGGGAGAGGCCAAGAATGTGGACATGCCGGCTTTGCAGAGACTTCCCCCTCAGTCTCTCACCTTAACGTTATTACCTGAGCGAAAAGAGGTTTCTCAGATTCTTTCAGTCTCCATTTCTGGCAGCTCCTGTGTCATAGAAGATGTTGGCATTTATCATGCTTTCCTCTTGCAGCCTCTTATACGAGAATGTTGACTGTGTCCCTTACAGTGGGTATGGAGAGGTGTCACACCTTTCTGCTCCTACAAGGACTGGTAGTTTCTTCCATAGTAAAACAGGCCTGTTTATGAGAGTTCCAGGTGGCAAACTCAGTTGCACTAAGGAATAGTTTGGTGACTGCCTGTGAGGGTCTTTCCAGAAGACACTGATAAGTGAATGTGAGCATATTTGATTGGGAATGTTCACCTTCAGTGTGTGTGATTACCATTCAGGAATCTGGAGACCATAGAACTAGAAAGAATGTGTTCACCTTCCAGAATAGAAGTTTTTAACCTCTTCTTCTATTGACCTTGGCCATGAGAACTCCAGGCTTTGGACTCCCGGACTTGGACCAGTGCCACCCTCAGGTCTCCAGCCTCCAACTGCAGGTTGTAATCTAGGCTCCTCTTCCCTAGCGTGAGTCTCAGGCCTTTGAAATTAGCCTGAGCTTTGTTTCCTTCTTGGTTCTCCGAAGTGCGGGAGACATACAGGGGACTTCTCATACTGTATACTTTATGAGCCAATTCCCCAGTAAGTCAGCCACTCCTTGTTCCTCTCCATTCTATACTGGGCCTTAAGACATCAAGATTCAGATCACCTCTGTGTTTCCCCCAGCAATAGCCTTTAGTTACTGCCTGATTGTTAGTTACCTAGAGGGAACCAGGCAGTGGATGCCCTAGCACCTCCTCATTGTCTACTGATATCGAGATGGTATATAGTACATTTGCTGGTTACTTCCGCCCTCCTGTTCTATTCTACTGTCAAATATTTCTCTAGCTGCCCTTCCCAGCCAGTCATCATGTACAAAATCTACCTATTAGCAGATTTTTTTCAGAGATTCCATTGGTGTATGACCTCTTGATACACCAATTCCATCAGACCATCAGACTACTGATCCTTTTCTAAAAGATACAGCACCAGGAGGCTAGTAGTAGGCCACTACAGCATAGGCCTACTCAGTAAAGGGCTTTATTCGTGATTTTGCCATTCTAACGGGGTGCTTCTTGTAAGTTGCTAAGGGTCCCTAGCTACAGTTTCTTCATCTGTACTGTACAAGGGTTCCCTTGTGCCTATTCCAAAGGGACCTGGTACAGACAGGATGAAATATATACCAGTGGTGCTCTGCATGACCTGCGCATGCCACGATTCCTCTCTGCTAGTAAACTAGGGCCTTTAGTGTGAATCAACTTGTGGTTAATTCTAGTCTCCCTCACCTTGTAGTACATACAGTACTGTTTGTCACATGGTATGTGTTCAATAAATACTCAGGGTCATGCAAAGGAATGAAAATTCCATCCTACCAATTGCGAAGCAAGATCTTACAAACACAGCACGTTCCCATCCCTAACAGATTTAACTCAGCCCTAAATTTTAAGATTTAATGGGTTGTCCTTCATGGAAAGTTTCTTTGAATGTTTGTTCTATGGACATAGTCATATCTGAATTAGATAACAGGAGGTAAGTGCCCCTTGGGAATTGTGTTAAAACAATATATTCCTAAATTCTCCTTAGACTGATTTATATACAGGCATGTACTTTATAATGAGGCTTGGGAAAATGATTGGACCTCATATACAGTGGTAGTCTTGGCAGAATATTGTACAGTGACATTTCAGGGTAAGTACTCTATGATGCTTGCATGATAACAAAATTGTGTGATGGTGACAGATGGATCATTTATGTGCATGTGGGTACATGTGTATATGCTTGGGGAAGTGAGAGGACAACTTTGGGTACCATTCCTATGGTGGTTTGAATAAGAATGGCTCTTATTGGCTCATACGTTTGAATACTTGGAAGACCTATTTGGGAAGGATTAGGAGGTGTGGTCTTGTTGGAGGAGGTGTGTTAATGGGGGCAGGCTTTGAAAAGATTATCAGAGTCATCCCAGGGAGCCTCTCTGCCTCCTGCTTGTGTATCAAGATGTAAGCACTTGACTGTCTGCCACCATGCTGTCACTTGGCCATCATCAACTCTAACCCGAGGAAACTGTAAGTAGCCACAGTAAATGCTTTCGTTTGTAAGTTGCCTTGTAAGTCCGCCAATCTAGGCTTCTCCAGACAAGCGCATACCACCAAGCCTTGCTTTAGTTAGATGTCTTCTGGATACTGAATTGAAGTCCTCATGCTTGCAAGACACATGCTTTTCCAACTGAGCCATCTCCCAAACCCAAAATGTACTTTGCACTGATAAATTATTTGGATGGAATAAGAAGCCAATACTCACTAGCAAAGAGCTCTAAACGTAATTTTAAAGTAGGTCTCTTTTATTTATCTTTTAAATGGCATTTGATAGTATCTAGGCTATAACCATTTTGAATTGTGTACATAGTTTTAAATGGAATAAGGAACCAATACTTATTACCAAGAGCTTCAAAAGTTCTTTTAAAGTAGATATTTTATTTATCTTATAAGTGACATTTGAGAGTATCTTGCTATAACCTTTTTAAACCGTACACTCTGTTTTAAAGTCTATTTTTATAAGTGATTTTCAGAGTCCATCTAAGCTTTAAACACCAGGTAACTATTTTGACTTTTTGTTTTGCTTTGAAAAATCTAAACCATGTTCATTGGTGGAGTTTATTAATTAGTTGGTGGATGTCATAAATTTATGAGTAACAATATACATAAATGGCTATTCTTATTTCATGAGTTACATAAAATTCAGTAACTACAACTCCAATTTTGTTTTTAGAACAAGAGCTTCTTTAAGCCCACATCATCTTTCACAGAATATTAAAGAGATGAAATTTCAGCTGTCCATATGGAGTTGAAAGGATTTTTTCAGTGGCATAAGGCCTGAGGAGAGTATCCTTGGTACACAATCATATACGTAAAGAAGAATGCATGTTCATAACCAATGTATGTGTGATGCTGGACACTGCATGAGTGATTCCCAGGGCTAGTTTTAGAAATTTCATGATGTGCTGTCCTCATTATCATTTGTTTCCCCACCCCTAACAAAGGCATCAGTTTCTATGCAAAGTTTATCATAGACAAGTCAACACTCAGTAACAATCATTGGAATTCCTTTTTGGTTACAATGTGGGACCAACTAGTCAGGCTCTTCTGTTACACAGGTGGCTTCTATATAAGCAGAATCATTCTCAAAGCAATAGCACAAACCATTCCAGAACAATCAGAGACTTATGTCTTAGTCAGGGTTTCCATTCCTGCACAAAACATCATGACCAAGAAGCTAGTTGGAGAGGAAAGGGTTTTTAATTCAGCTTACACTTCTACATTGCTGTTCATCACCAAAGGAAGTCAGGACTAGAACTCACGCAGGTCAGGAAGCAGGAGCTGATGCAGAAGCCATGGAGGGATGTTACTTACTGGCTTGCTTCCTCTGCCTTGCTCATCTTACTTTCTTATAGAACCCAAGACTACCAGCCCAGGGATGGCACCACCCACAATGGGCCCTCCCCCCTTGATCACTATTTGAGAAAATGCCTTACAGCTCAATCTCATGGAGGCATTTCCTCAACTGAAGCTCCTTTCTCTGTGATAACTCCAGCTTGTGTCAAGTTAACATACAAAACCAGGGAGTACAGAATGAAGGCAATAAATTCCATTTCCTTCCTAGAAATCTACTACTGCCAATTCTGGGTGGTTCTTTATTTT